TGAAGACACTTTTATGCTAAGCAACACAGCCAGTTTCCTGACTTAGGATACGTGATGTGACTGTACGATACTTAACGGCGATGCACACAAGATGTCTATCATCTTGAGCATTGATGACTCGGACGCGTTTCAGACATTGCACGTGGTTCTGCATGGCCATCTTTCGATTCAAAACTCTACTAACAATTATGGATCTCAAACAATGTGAGCGCCTAAAATTTTGGTATTTGAATTTTGTGATGATTCTAGAATTTTGTCAATTTTGTAGTTCTTGATATAGGATTTGTCCGAAGCATGACTTGAATGTGGAAGTAAAAGCAACTGACTGTTAAAAGCATATTTGCTGGATATACTTCAGCTTTCTTTTCATTTCTTTTTTTTTCCTGCTATTGGTACTAAAATTAGGAATAACACAATTGATGGTGTCATAGAATTACATCTTATAGCAAATGGCATCGTAATCTTCAAAAACTATCATACTAAAATAAGACGAAAACATGCAATTATATTATCCATTTGTATTATCCTAATGAGATATAGCATTTTTAAACATTGAGGTAGATATGCATTTCATTTTTTAATACTTGTAATACACATTTCAATACTTATAATTAATAAATAAACAAAAAATTTAAAAAATGGGGGATGGGAAGACTTAAAAAAAATCCGAAAGCTTTCAGATTAATATTATGTCCAAAGGAGCGCCTTTTTAACGTTTTGTGTGTTACCTTTACTGATTAAATATCATGTTCTTCGCACTTAAACCATAAAATTCAGTTCAACAGCAATATCAGAAAATATTTAAAAGAGCATATCTTAAGCATTTCTGATACACAGTCTCGTGAACTGGAGATAAAAATATCCCCCCCCCCACACACAATGTTGCCTCTGCTCGATTAGAAATTGTTGAATTTGTTAAACAAAAATTCCTTTAATGTCCGACAAAATATGAAATAGATAATGAAACAAATTCGAAATTAGGGCTTCCAGATGCCCATATTTGGTGGAGGATTACATTATTCAAAATTTGATGGCTCTAGATAGCGTACTCAGCTGCAAAACCACACGGTTTTGCAGCTGAGGATGGTGTTTCGGTAAAACCATCGAAACTAGTCCTGTGAAAATTTTGAAAATATAACGCTGATTTTTGTTGTTTGAATTCTGAATTAGTATTTTTTCGGCATTTTATTGTGTCTTAGTTATATTAATATATATTGATATTCCTTTATTCTGCTAAATATTAGTTGCTATTATCTTACTGTCCACCTCTTATTAGTGCTTCATGAAAAAACTCTCTAGCCTAACATGTTTCCTTGGATTCATTCAGAACCCTTTATGAATGGGTAAGGGGAGAAACATTTGTTATCAATTTTCTTATAATTTCAGAAAAACCAGTCTTTATTACAGATTCTAGAGAACTGTGTCAGTTATGCCTGCAATGTAGACAAGTTAATGTGCTCTAGTTTTTCTTCTTCAGTGTGTGGTGTGAATGTATAAAAATTCAGGATGTTTACACATGGAAAATACAAAACTCTAACTTTGGAGACAAAGGTAGAAATTTAAAAGAAAGTAGAGAAAGGCGAATGTAAAACAAAATTAACAGCTGACTATGGAATTAAAAAACAAATTTTAGCTTATCTGAAAAACAAGTAATTAATTTTAGATTCATGGAAAAAATCTTAATTCCATAGAGGAGGGAAAATCATTAGAAATGCATCCCGAGAAGACCTAGAAAAAGCTCTACTGCTATGGTTCCAGGAGACTAGATCTCAAAATTTTTCGATAAATGGACGCCTGTTGAAGACAAAAGCTGATGAATTGGCAAGTCAAATGGGTATTGAAATTTTTAAATGCACTGATGGAAGACTTTCTTGATTTAAGTCAAGACATAATATTTCTATCAAACTGTATGTGGCCAAAGATCAAACGAAATTAGTGCATGTGAAGACGTATGCACTAATTTTGGTAAGAAACTGCCAGCACTTTTTTCTAAAGCTACAAGGGGAAGGAATCATTCAGAATCTTTAAACAAATTATCATGAGAGACTCTTGCAACAAATCATTTTTTCTTCAGATTGAGCTGAAAACTACATTACTCTGCTATAAATTATCTACATGCTGCATGGGACACTCAGTGTTAAAGAAAGCACAATTAGCAATTGCTTTCATCATGCTAAATTCATGCACAGCAAAGAGAACAATCATATCGAAGAATGCTACATGAGTAATATGGCTTTTTCTGAATTAAAAAATATTAATGCGAGAATGTTACTTTTTCCAATTATGTAAGGGTAGACGGAAGCTTGGAAAACTGAGCGACAATGACAAAATAAAAATTATCTGAGAAAAAGAAGAGGTCTTTTGAGATTCAGAAAAGAATGCAAAGAAAGTTAGATGGCCCAAAGATCAAGCCATAATGGGCTCTATAAAAACTCTGAAGATATTTATTCAGGTTGTACCTTCCTCTGAACATGAACGAAAATGTTTACTTCAAATCAAGAAGCTAGCATAAAAATGTAGGCATAATAAACAAAATCACACATCCATTTTACAGTTTTTCCCAAAAGTGTAATTCAGGTTTTTAATTAAAATTTACTTTCTATGGCAGATTTCGTACTTCATTTTATGATTAAGGTAAGTCTTCATTTTATGATTGCTTTTTAAAACATTTAATTTTAGATAGCAGAGTATAATATATTTTCTAGGGTTATACATATCAAGAGATTTTTCTTCTTCTTAAGGTGTTCTTCTATGAAGATTCTTAAGGTCAGATAATTCAAACTATTTTCCAAAACTTTGATTTCAAACTAATGAGGGTCTACTGTACATCCTAATGTTCTGTACTTTTCTGTTATGCATTGTTTGTTTTTTTTTTTTTTTTTTTTTTTTTTTTTTTTTTTTTTTTTTTATTGTAAATAATTTTGGTTACAAGACTGTTTAATGAAATAGTTTACAGATGGCTCTCACACACATCTCAAAATACGTGGCAGGTGCATATTGGAAAAGTATCTAATGTTCTACTGAATAAGGATAAAAAAATTATTTTCATTTTTGCAAAATTCCATCTCTGCAGATGATTAAGATGCATGAATCCTAATTAAATTCAAAGAGTGAGCTATGAAACTCAGATATATAGTTAAATCATTTATAAGCTATAATCATAATTCAATCTCATCTCACAATTTCATTGAGCTGCTATCTTATTTATTATCATAAACTATGTCTTTTGAATGAAAAGGTAAACGTTTTATCTTTCTTGGAGTATTCCAGTTGCCAGTCACCTTTTGCAGATTTGCTTTTATATTTCTTAATTTATCTTTCATCAAAACTTTTCAGTGAATGATGGTAGGTAACATTGATTCAGTTTACATAATACATTTCTCCATTTTATTAAGAACCAGCTACAATTAAATGCAACAGAAAAATATTTTACTGTCTGAATAATAATTTCATTCTCGATATTTCCCACAGAAAATCAATAAATATGTTTTAAATTTTAAGATTACGAAGCTTCATTCAATTCCCAAAATGAAACCTAACATATTGATAATATGGAACTGCTTTTATTACACTTCAATGAGACAATATAAATCTGAATTTATTACCATTTCATTATACTACCAATAAGTAGTATAATTAATATTAATAATTTATTATACTACCAAAATATTAAATATTTCTTCCTGTTTCTGTTCTTAGTTTTTTACTTATATAAGCAAAACTATTCTATTACTTGTCATGAACAGAAAATGTAATTAAAAAATTTAAACAGTTTTTGTATGTTGGAAAATGTAAGAAGTTTCTACAAGTTATAAAATGTAAATCCATGAAATTTACCCACATAGTATACAAAAATGCAGTTTACACTTATAGTCACATCATTATCAAAAGAATTTTAACCAATATAAAAATCTTCTCTAAGTAGCACAGTTTTGAATTTTGATTTTACAAAACAAAACAAACACAATTATTGAAAATAAGCCTGAAAAAACAAAAATGCAGTTACTGTAGCCTTCTGAATGACACAATTGTTTCTCCATTCAAAAGCTCCACATATCCATTTCATATTTGTTACCCTGTTGTTTTTTGTTTGAAATATTTAGCATTCAGTTTCTTTAATACATGTTACTACTGTATTAAAAGATGTGTTATTACACTACTTTATGTACTACATTTTTCAAATATTAACTATGTGCTTTTAAAAACAGTATACAAATAAAGCAATCCCAGAATAGCATTCTAGGAATAAAATAAAATTATATCCCAAATTTGCAAAAATGAGAACGATCACTAATAAAGAAGAAAGACTGGAAAGGTTCTGCCATATTCAAATCAAACGGAATTCAGAAAGGTTCTGGCATATTCAAATCAACAGGAGTTCAGAAAGATTTTAGTTAGAACTCAAGATGAAGATGAAGATTAAAATCAAGAATTAATTTAATTTTATGCAAAAACATGATAGCCAAACAATAGCTCAAAATTCTAAAAATGTGCTTTAAAATTAATTTCATAAAGCACGCATTTGGAACTTTTGATTTACATATGCATACATATCTGTGATCATGCCAGCATACTCTTAGTACTCTCTAACTTACTCTGAGTTTATTGTATTTTGTACATTTTTATTCTTTGTGTTGCATTTTACTTTAAAAAATTTGACTAAGTGGTTAAAAATCATCTTAAACACATAGTTTATGGATTCCAGTTTATGTTTATTCATAGTTAATAAATGTGTTAAATTTTTTCACAGATAAAATTTTAAATTTCAGTATAATAGAGTTTAATTTTGGCATCAGACATTTATTACACCAAGGAAGATGCACTGTAACTTAAAAATAATTTTTGTGATTTGTAGATTATCAAAATAAATAGCAATGCAAAAAATGTTGCATAAAATAAAATATTAAGTAACACATAAGAATCTTAATTTATGAAAATTTGAAAGCTGTTACAATTCAAAGGATTCAAAATAGCAAAGAGAGAAAAATGACATGAAATGGTTAAAAAAATACGTTCTTTATTAAAAAAATACTTTGAAGTACTCTAAAAACATTATCACAGTTATAAACTACTTATTTGATAGAAAACATTACAGTTCAGATCATTAAATTAAGAAAATTTATTTATTAAAGAAGGATTTTATAGATCTCTGTTTAGAATCCTCTGCTACCAGTTTTCTTTTCTTTGAAGAGACCTACAGGGATAAGATAATAAATCAGCAAATGAATTAAATAATTTCTACTATTATACTAAAAAATCCATTAAAAATTTTATGTTAGCCTCCCTTTTTTTTCTCAGGTGATATATAATTAATTTTGTTCATAAATCAAGTTTAAACTTTAAACTGTAGTTTTCAAGAAGCATGTTTTCTTTTTTCAAAATAAATAAATAAATAAATAAATAAAAGCAAAAAGCATGGAAATAAACATAGCGGTTTCAAATATTTAACGTAAAATTTTACTTTCTTCTTAATTTAATAATTAGCTAAACTGAAAATTTTAATGTACGACATAAAAGTCAAGAATCAAATCTCAATACTAAATTGTTAATTTATTACAAATATTAAGTGCTGTAACCTATTTCTGCTCTACAAGTTTAGTTCTCTATACTCAGGTAAAGATTATGAAATATTTCTAAAAAAGTGAATGTTAACTAAAAACTGTTAGTTTGAAATTTTCATTTTATTGTATGACAGTTACAGTTTTCAGTACATTTCACCTAAATAAATGTTATACATTTATAACAATATATGTAATGAAATCTCATTCATATCAGAGTATTTAATAGTCTCTTTAGAGAAAACTCTCTATCAGTTTGCAATCTTCATTTTCTAAATAAGATGCTTAGCTAACATGCCTAAATAAATTTTAAACATTTATAAAAGTACATAACATGCAAATCTCATCCATTTTAAAACATTTAATACCTACTTGTTTCTTTGGAGAAGATTCAGATTTTCGCACAAAAGCAAGAACTTTTTTCATTGCAGTAGATACAGCAGCAGACTGAAACTCTTCTTCACTTAACCACATCAATTCTTTTGATGCATGACTAACCTTAACAGACTTATCTACAGCTAAATGCTCTATAATGTATGTAGTACGAATGTGTGAAAATATGTGGACAACCTTCAAAAAGGAAAAAAATACATGTGTTTTAAAATGCATATTGAGATTCATATAATAAGGAATTAAGGAAATCAAAATTTACCAAAAAAGCTCAACATTTACTTGTTTGCCTTATTAAACTTTTTTTTTTTTTTTTTCAATATAGTTGTTTAAGCTGCTTCATTTGTGTTAAGACTTACTCTTTAATTTTATGGATAGACATAATTTCTTGTTCAGTTACAAAGGTCCACTGTTAAAGTCCTAAAGTCCTGCAATTGCTGAACTGAGATTTTCCACTAAATTGTCAATCCAAATCTTTTCTCCTTGAAAACCTCTTTGCCACTACTGGTAGTGATATTTTCTGGATTTAAAACCATGACATATTTCATCATTCTTTAGTTGACTGCTGATTTTGGGGCATTGTCATTGCAACGGAAAACTTTTATATCTTCTTCATTTATTATTACTACTCCATAAGTTCCATCAACTGGAAAATTTTGTCTTCTATAGCATTCAAAATCTACAAATTAAGGTTACTGTTTTTCCCAATGTAGAAAATTACACTTTCTTAAGCAACTTATTTTTACAAGGCTGCATCAGAAGGCAAGCACCAAATATGCTTTTGTCTGCAGATCCTGCTACAGCTTCAGAGTTTGAAACTTTTTTTAACATAAATGAAAATTCACACTTTAACTTTGATTTCATAGTTATAATAATAGCAGTCTGCAAAAAATAGCAAGTTAGAAAGATAACAAAAAGGGCAATTATGTTAACTGAACTGAAGTTCTTTGGAATTTGATTCTTTTTCTCTTCCCCTCTACAATGCCAATAAAAGAAAACTTGTATGAGCAACATCCCATTCCAAATAAACATGTCTTGGTGCTTATTGTTTAGGTCAGATAGAAAAATGTTCCCCCACCCTTTATGCATGAAATGTAGTTGTTGCTAACATCAATTAATACTGCAATTCCTTAGGAAGTGAAATGCAAAGCTACTAAACAGCCATCTGATGACTTTTAATATGTTGAAAGTAAACGAGTAATTATTTTAATACTGAATTTTACTTACAAAGATAGACTCACTACCATATTGCCTAATGTGATTTCCTCAATTTTGTGGTATTGCTTACTAAACTGTCATGCAAAGCTCCTGGTTGCTTCTCGAGATCCCATTTCTAGCGCTCTCTCTGGAAGATGTGCTCTCCAAACCTAGATGCTCATCTCCCTCTTCATCTAAAATTACTCCAGTGATGACCACTTTTTCATGATGCAATGACTTTTTCAAAGGTGGAAGTACCTTCCTTTTTCTTTTCCAGATTCTCTTTAGAAACTATCTGAGGAATCTTCAATCCATCAGGCCCCTTCATGGGATCAACTGAGAACGTTAAGAAAAGCTAAGAATTAGCAGCTGAATTCTAGTTTAAGTACAACTAACCGTCAATCAATGTATTGTCATTAAAGGGATATACAGAAATGTCAGCTAGTTGGAAGAAAAATTGCTTTTATGGCACACTTGTTGTTTCCTTCCTATTATGTTCTCATATCCTAGACTCTGTAAAAAACATTGCTGGTGATATGGAGGTCTGGATATTGGCTGTCAAGATTTCAAGCTTCGTACTGCATTTGTTTTTAGACTGAAAATATGTACACAAACTTATCTGAAAATATAAAAAATACATTTATATATCAGTTACTAAAAAAAATTTGAGTGTTATTTTTTTTTTCCTATGCAGAAAATGCAGTACTATGTTAAAGATGAATAGTTTTTAAATGTTTCGATGTCATACTAAAATTACAGCTGTGAGCAAAAACATCCACAGAACTAAATAACTATTTAAAATTTTAACTGAGAAATATATTTTGCTTGTTCAAATAAAATGGTGAGTATGATACTAAGAATTTTTCCCCCATAAGGGTATGGAGTAGCCTGATCATATTTAAATATAATGTTGATTTCACTACATGGTGTGAAAAAGAAACGATTCTCGAAGGTTCTCAATGCCATGCAGTGAGGAATGACCACAAACAATAGTGAGATGTGTAATACTACTAGTCATTTTTAGTCAAATGACTTATATATTTAATGAGGGTGTAGCCTGTAAATGACATTTTGACTGCAAAATTCTTCAGTAATAAAAAAATACACTATCATATAATTTTTATTGTCAGAGACAATAAACATATCAGCATTTATACAAGGATGCTACTATATGTAATCTGCTGACAGATGGTATTGTTAAAAAAGCTGCCATTGGAGGATGCAAATTCAGAAGCGTGAGTCAAGAGAGCGCGAACGAATGTAATGGCGACATACTGTGTTTGAACTATGATCCCCCCAGTATACAACTGGCTATAGATATGTATAATACATACAATCTATTAGTAAAACAAAAGAAATAGTATTGTATGCCATTCTGATGATTCGAGCCAGAGAGAAAATCTCTTAACATTTTTAGAGCAGGGATATCTACACATTGTGCCAAACTAAAAAAAAAAAAAAAAAAAAAAAAAAAAAAGAAAGGGCTAAATTTTGATCAAATTTGCCCATTCATTTTTTAGAAAAATGCTCTAATTTCAGTCCTCACTAAATGAAACTAAAACTGGAATTATTGCTTTTCTAAAGTGAGATTATTGATACATGCTGACACTAAATTGAAATATGAATAAATACAGCAAATTATTCACTAATAAATCATCAATACTTAAAAGAAGAGTTTTATCACTTTGCTAAATATCATACATATAAGAGATTTCCATTATTTTCTCAAGTAACAATGTTCATCATCAGCCACCAAACCTTTTGCCAAAGTTATGGCTATATTTGTCTTTCAATTTTTAAAAACCTTGAAAAGCTTAATTTTTTTTTTTTTTTTAAATACTTCAAAAACTAAGCAGTCTCTTAAGCAATAAATGCATTTTAGAAAGATATTTGGTGAACTTTTGTAAAATTTCAAGGAATAATGCTTGGTATAATAATACATGAAGAGTTTAAATGATTAACAGCATTGTTTGTTTGAGTTTTCCAACGTGCCTTTATTAGACAATAATTCACAAAGTAATAATATCTAAGTCTGCACCAACTGAAAGAATTCTGAACATTTTTAAAATATAGTAGTACATAAATTGAAGAGAATTTCATAAATGAAGACAGGGTTAAAGACTTATTACAAATCTCAAATTGATATACATTAAAAAAATTCTGCAGAGCATACCACCTTTTTCACACTTTTTTAAAAATATAATTTTAAATGTTGTAAATTCTCAATTGATTAACCTTACAGAAAGATTATTTTAAATTAAAGCAGAAAAGTAAAAGCATTACATTTAGACACATGATTAAAAGTTACTGAGATGGCATTTAGTGGTCTATGCAAAGGGAATTTTTAAAATAAGCAGAAAAGTATAATATATGGTTAATAATAGACATGAAGACAAATCCTAAATTTCTCAAACCCGAGTTCTAAAAGGTTCTGCAATTTCTTAATTCTTTCAAATTATCCTCAGTTCTTGGAGGGGGGGGAGAGAATAAAAGAAAGAGAAATATGAAGGAAAAGAAATAATTCTTAGAAGTTTTTACGTCAAACAAAATTTAAAATCCACATCTAGTGAAAAATAAAGTTAAAAATTCAGTTTTTAAAAATTACTAAAAAGATGCAAATGAAGTAGATAAAAGTAGCTTGAATTGAATTTTCTCAATATAATTTAATAAAATTAATTGATGAGCCATTCAGATTTTCTTAAAAATTTAAGAGCTATGCCTGAGTACTTTACTTAATACGCAACAGGAATCATACACTTGACAGTTTTACATATCAAGCCATGAACTGATAGAAAGATTCAGGACTTTTTAGTAATAGGCTATTTATGACCATAATTACTAAGATGATTTCAGTTAGTTTTTTGGAAGTGCAGTGCACTGATTACTTGAATATTCTGACTGATTTTGCTAGATGGCACACTGAAATGGGTTGCCCTCAAGACCACTATGAGGTGATATTAGAGATCCACATCTCTAATACTTATCAATAAAATATCAAAATATCATCATCTTTACTTAATAAACATTTATGTTAGATGTAAAACAATTTTTTTTTTATTTTTTAGTCAAAACTTTTATAGCTTTCATTTAGGACAGATGTACACTACGAGGGGGGGGGAAGAGAAGGAACAGTTCTATATCTCCCATTCTACTCGGCCGATTGATGAAATTCAAATTGTGTTTTCCATGTCTTGAAAGCGCAATTTAGGATATATGTCAGATTTATATAGCTTTGTTTTAACATAAGTATTTTGAAACAAAATCAGACTTTTTCTGAAGTAACATACCATTTCTTTTATATGTTTTGATTCTACGACTCAAATTATGCCTAGATATTAAATTTTGTAATTTTTGGTGAGAAATTTAAGGAGAAATTAAAAAATTTATCTTGGCGAATTTTTTCAGTTTGCGCCAATAATAATTCATTTGGCGAACTTCTTAATTTATAGCAAATTATTTTCTTTTCCTTTTTGTTCATTGTCCACGAACGGAAAAAACGTCATCAGTCATACTTTCAAATAATTTTAACAAAGTGCATAACCCACATTTTCATTATCATTGCTTATAATAAATACACCAAATTTCAAAATGTACCAAAATGTAAAATCACATAGAATATCACTTGGGAAATTTTGAATAAAAAAACCCTAGTTTTTTGCAAGTATGCTCATACATCTACTTTAAGATGATAACAAAACTTTTATAGGCTATAATTCAAGTATTGTGAAAAATTTATTAAAGCTATTTAAAAATAAATTATAAAAAATGGGTGAATTTTATTTGTAATGAACCTATTTTTCGAAATATAAAAGGAAGGATCAAATAGGTTTAATAAAAAAAAGAGATATTAATAAATATATATCAAATTTAATTAACATTGAGGGACAAAAATTTTGAGAGCTACTTTTTTAAAACTACTCATGCAATTTTTACAAACTTTAAATACAAATTAAAAACTTGGCAGTTTGGCATAATTTGAGTCG